TCCTTCCGCCTCAGCCTTCCAAGTAACTGGAATTACAGGCGTGCGCTACCACGCCCGGCTAAATTTTTTATTTATTGTAGAGATGAGGTCTCGCCAAGTTGCCCATGCGGGTCTCGAACCCACTGGCTCAGGCAATTCACTCACCTTGGCCTCCCAAAGAGCGAGATTACAGGCTAAGCCACCGAGCCGGCCTAAATTCACCATTATTCCACAATTCTAATTCTTATGCTCATCATTTTTTCTTGTTCTATAACCAAGTTTTCCTACATTAAGTCAAGATTCCAATCTTACTTCTATTCAAACTGTAGAGAATTATCTTCTTAAAACACAGATCTGGATTAAGTTATTTACTGATTAAAAGTCATGTGTGTGCCTAGAAACAACAAAAGAAAACCCAAAATTCGTTGTACAGGGAGTAAGCTTCACTATTTGATTCTACCTTACCTTTACTATATTTGCAAGCCAAGACACACTACATGTCTTTTCCCAAAATCCATCCTATGCTTTCTATCTTCCATGACTTTGCTAAATTTGTAAAGACTACTTTGAAGACACTACCCTCAAAGTCCAAAATCACTATATCGGCCAACCTTTCCAGTTAAAATTATCTTACATCTTTCTCTATACACTCCACACCAATAATATAGATGAGTCTATCTTCTAATTATCTACATACCTATTTAACCCATAAGAAAGTAAACCAAGCCGGGCTCGGTGGCTCAGCCTGTAATCCCGCGCCTTTGGGAGGCTGAGGTGAGTGGATTGCCTGAGCCCGTGGGTTCGAGACCCACCTGGGCAACTTGGTGATACCTCATCTCTACAATAAATCAAAAAAATCAGCCAGGCATGGTAGAGCATGCCTGTAATGCCGGCTACTTGGAAGGCTGAGGCGAAAGGATCGCTGGAGCCCAGCAAGTCGAGGCTGCGGTGGCCGGGAGCAGCCACTGCACTCCAGTCTGGGTGGCAGAGTGAGACTCCAACTCAAAAAAAAAATAAAGTGGGCAAAAGACATGAATAGACACTTCTCAAAAGAAGATATATGGGCAGCCAACAGACACACAAAACAGTGCTCAGTCTCACTCATCATCGAGAGATGCAAATCAAAACCACATTGAAATACTACCTAACCCCAATAAGAATAGCCATCATTAATAAAACAGACAACAACAGATGCTGGCGAGGATGTGGAAATAAAGGAATGCTTCTGCACTGCTAGTGGGAATGCAAACTAGTGCAACCTCTTTGGAAGACAGTGTGGTGATTTTTGAAAGAACTAGAAATTGACCTTCCATATGACCCAGCAATTCCCCTATTGAGAATACACCTGGAGGAACTCAAATCATTCTACACGAATGTTTGTCGCAGCTCTATTCACAATAGCAAAAACATGTAACCAATCATGCTGCCCATTGAACCTGGACTGGATCAAAAAAATGTGGTACATATACACAATGGAATATTATGCAGGCATAAAGAAGGATAAACATATGGACTTCGCAGCAACTTGGATGGATTTAGAGTCAATCATACTTAGTGATCTATTCCAGAAACAAAGAACAGAGTACCATACGTTCTCACTCATAAGCGGACCTTGAACAATTATCATAATACTATAAAAAAGGGATTGGCAGTGGGAAACTGCCAGGGGAGGGAGGGTGGAATTGGCAGTTGAGGGAAACTGCTATGGGAGGGAGAGGCACACCTCATCAACGAGGGTACCTGCATAATCAATGTTTGCATACCTAACCCTGACTTGTACCCAACATCTCTAAAATTTAAAAAATTTTTTTAAAATTAATAAATAAAATTTAAAAATAAAATAAAAACATGCATTAAACCACATTCTCTTCTTCAGCAGTACTACTAGATGTTTTCCATAACATCATTATAACGTTACCCATAACACCATTTATTTGTCTACTAAATATTTGCTGAGTACCCATTATGTGCCAGCCTCTCCACAGGTACTGGAGACACAGTTGTTACAGATATAAAGTCTGCACTCACAGTGAATGGTCTAGCAAAAACTAGACCTTAAAAAATATATTAAAATATAATAAATACAGTTTTAAAAATATGAAAACATACACTGAGAATCAAGTCCAATGGGGGATACAGGGGCCTAGGAAATTTTCAAGGTTTCTATGAAGTATAGCTTGTCATCAGCCCAGGAATATACCACTGACTACCCTATAAAGGCTTAAGTCTGATTTGTTGATGAATTTCGAGGACTCAGTTCCCACAACAGACCATGGTCTCACCCACATGTGTTCATGTATATAGTCTCTTGTGTTTAAATGGCAGAACCTCTTACCCTTGACATATTCTTTTTAGCATCAAGTCGCCTTTGCAGAGGTCAAGTCTACCAGGCTACATTGTGGGCTCCTGTTTCACGTCAACACTCAAAGAAATGCTCTTCTAACCACCACTAGTTCATTTTCCCTCAACTGGAGGCCAACTTTTTTAGTACACTTTTACTTTCATTCATCTGTTTCCTCACACAAGCCCTAGGACATTACCTAGCACATAAGTGGTATTTTATAAACATAGGTCGAAAGCAAGAATGAGCAATATATCCTTTAATGTCTTGCTTAAAGTTTTATTAGTTTCTACCTCAAATCCACAATATCAACATGTATATAATATATGCATTTAGCCGGGCTCGGTGGCTCAGCCTGTAATCCTGCGCCTTTGGGAGGCTGAGGTGAGTGGACTGACTGAGCCCGCAGGTTCGAGACCCGCCTGGGCAGGCGAAACCTCATCTCTACAATAAATTTAAAAAATTAGCCGGGCGTGGTAGCGCGCACCTGTAGTTCCAGCTACTCAGAAGGCTGAGCGGAAGGATCGCCGGAGCCCAGCGGGTCGAGGCTGCGGAGGCCGGGAGCAGTCACTGCACTCCAGTCTGAGCGACAGAGTGAGACTCCAACTCAAAAAAATATATATATATGCATACACACACACATTTATAAAGCATAATACCTTAACACACAATTGGCAATATATTTCAGTTAACACCTGAGGTCCTACGCCTTTAAGGAAAACGCTCCCAAACCAAGTTATTCCCTTCTGCTCTCCACCACAACAGTCAGCAACTCAGATTTCTGTGACCAAATGTGGGGTTCCCCCCCCCATTACCAAGCAGCAGACACCAACCAGGTGTCCTCAATTCAATCCCAACACTATCTACCTGGAGATAGTGTCAGATCCCACAGGATAAGGGTTCGGTCCCACAAGACAGTCCCCCACCCCAGATGCCAGTTGCACATTCAGTTCTCTGAAACTTATGACCAAAGGATATCAAGTTGGGATTCCCTTAACCCTGTCCTGGGATTTAATTTGCAGGAGTAGCTCACAGAACTCAGGGAAACATTTACGTTTGCCAGTTTACTATAAAGGATATCGCAAACGATACAGATGAAGAGACGCATATGGAGACATATGGAGAAGAGGTTTGGAGCTTCCATGCCCTCCCTAGGTGAGCCACCCTCCAGGAACCTCCACATATCCAGCTAACCAGACGTTCTCCGAAACCAGTTCTTTTTGTTTTTGTTTTTGTTTTTTTAGTTGTTGTCTCACCCTATTGTGCAGGCTGGAGGGCAGTGGCATGATCACAGCCACTGTAGGCTTAAATTTCTAGGCTCAGGCGATCCCTCCACCTCAGCCTCCCAAGTAGCTGGGACTACAGGCATGTGCCAGCACACTCAGCTAATTTTTTCATTTTTGTAGGGACGAGGTCTTACCACATTGATTAGGTTGATCTCGAACTCTTAGGCTTACACAGTTGTCTCATCTCAGTCTTCCAAAGTGCTAGGATTACAGACTTGAGCAACCACCTGGGTATTTATGGAAGCTTCATGACCTTAGCATTTCTTCTCCCCAATATGTAGGGCAGGACCCACTTGGGGAGTGTCTTAAGACCCACAATTAGAAATATAGCAGAGATCAGAGTCCTGCCTTGGGGCAAGTGAAAGGAAGGCATGAGAAAGTCTAAGAGATTGTTTCTGAGGCCCGGCCCTGAGGCCTAACACACCCTACGCTGTAACAAAAGACTGTAACAAGAACTATGGGAGTTGCGACCCATGAATCACCAGGGAAAACCACTATATTTCATACCACCACACCTATATAACTGGCTTATGAGAACCTATTGCTAGGCTCCTATTCACCTAAGTAAAACAGGTACTAATTCATAATACTGATTTTTTTTTCCCATCTCTCCACAAAACATATTAGCTACTAACCATAATGAAGAAACCACTATTTTCTGATAGCTTCATTTTTGTTTAACAATTAATTCTAATTTGGAACCTCGGTCTTTACCCATATACATGGTATCTGAGTCTTTCATTTTTTTCAAGAAGGAACTTTTGGTATAAAACTGTTTT